ACCAAATTTTGACCGTATCACCCTTTATTCTGCCGTGATGGTACCCAATATTTGTTTTGAATGACTGAGCGTGCATTTTCTATGGAAAAATGACTCAATTACATGCTGTGTGAGTGAATGCAAGCGGTGTGCGTCGCCTGCTCGTGAGTGACTGAATGTCTTTGTTGGCTCTTTCATTGCCTCGCCCTTTACCGTTTGATACAAACGATCTGCACATAGCAATGGATTGAATAGTGCAGTGCTTTCACACTCAGCCTAGGCAGTCAATAATTTTAAGCTCTGCTCAGAACATCCCGGTGGCACCGACTGGGATTGAACCTAGGCCTGCTGGGTGAGAGGTATTCACGCTTACCACTACACCACCGGCACCGCTAAAGCACGCGCGATGCTGATGATGACGTTATGTTCGTTAAATTTACCACGTAGTCTGTAATGAGACCGTTTTTTCGATGTAAATATACTTCCAAAATTTATCATTAATTTTTTTTAAGATCGAAACAAGATATCGATTTTATCGATCTTTTCGTGGAGAAAGAATCGATCCGAAAAATCGGGAATCGGGATAAAAAATATCGATGTTCCAAAGATCGATCCAAGATCGCCCAATCCTAGTACAACTCAATGCTCTTCGTGGTGTGTAAAAGAGGCAGTACGCAGTGTAGTGTTGCGTTTAGACATGCCTGCCGTACACAACAAAATCCTCTTGGATGTAATATTAAATTTATTTTTTGCTATGTAGTCACGTGTTGTTCGACGAACAATGACTCGCCGGAGGGGTCACACTATGTGGGCTTTGGCCTGTCCGGAATGAAAACCTTCATCCCATTGACGGCAATTGAATGTACAAGAAAGACAGCTTCCACACCTGCGTAGGATATCGCACCCATTCATTCAACACACATGGACCGGGACCAATGGCTATACTTCCCTTCCGAAGGAAGACGTGAGCAGAGATTTTTATGCCTCAGAAAAATCCCACCGACCTCGGCTGGGATTGAACCCAGACCCATTAGGGTGAGAAAGTAGTCATGCTTACCACTACACCACCGGCGCTGGCCAAAATAAAATAAAACATATGAAGCGTGCCTTACGCAAACAACGTGTCATCAAAAGGGGATCAAGTCTCCAACAATTTTCAAAATGTGGTTTTAGACATCTTAGAGAAAAAAAAAACGTAGTTTTGGGAAATTATACATTTTGGAACCTTCTGAGTATTGATAAACTTACAAAACTGTGAGCCTGTGCAAAAACCACAAAATCAAAACAGAGGTGTCCAAAGTGTTACCACTATCGCCTACCGATAAATTAATAATTAATAATTAATAATTGTTCATCCTGACTGACTGACTGATTTCAAAATCTATCTATTCACAGTGTATCAACAAATGGTCCAATCAGTTATTTTCGACAATGTTGATCAGGTGCACAACGTTTATTTTAAGGTTGACAGCTCAAAAATCCGGGTCTTTCACAAAACGTCGAAGAACAAAAAGTCGAATGGACAAATGGTTCAGGGGAAAAAAATGAAAGAATGAACCTTAAAGGGTCAAAATTTTGAGCTGATACAAGGTTGAATGAACAGAATGTTGTATGAACTATAGGTCGATTGGAAAAAGATCGAATAATCAAATGTTCAAAACCGTCTAAAGGTCGAAATGAATTGAAGTTCTATAGACATAAGTTTGAATGTAACTTAGAATTTCACAATTTTTCCTATTTGACCTTTAATCATTCGGTATTTTAACCATTCAAACATTAGTACCTTTTAATTTCATTCGACCTTTTTCCATTTATAATCTTTTCCGTTCGACCTTTTATTCGATTATCAAAATGTTCTTTCGATCTACTGTCGATTTCAACCTTCTTATTTATCCTTTACTAGCTGAGTGTGCCCGGCCTTGCTCGCGATTCAATATTAGCTCGAGTTTATGCGCCGATTAAAAAAAACATACAATATTGTACGTATCCCCTCTTCCCTCTTATCTAAGGGGCTACTTTCTATTATCTCCTCTTTATACCTCCACATGCCAAGTTTGGTTCTTTTGCTTGATTAGTTCTCGAATTATGCAGAAATTTCTGTTTCATTTGTATGGGAGCCCCCTCCCCTTACAGAAGGGGGAGGGGTTTCAAACCATCATTAGAAACTTTTCCTGCCCCAAAAACTATTCCACAATCGATTGCCAATCAACGACGAGCGTCAATTGTCAATTAGTGATTAATCACTGACTGCAATTGAACGCCAGAGAGGCGATTTCCCTACCTGGAACACATCGAACCAACCAATGCATGGGCTGGGACCAACGACTTTAATTCCCTTCCGAAGGAAGACGTGACCAGAGATTTGTTTGCCTATGAAAAATCCCAACGGCCTCTACTGGTATTGACCCCAGACACACTGGGGTGAGAAAGCAGTCACCAGTTACCACTCAACCACACGCGCCATCTATTTTTTTTAACTTCTGTCTCCCTAACTTTCATTCGATCATTGGTCCTTTTGTCCTTCAATCTTTTGTCATTTGCATGTGCATTTTTGTTCTACTTGACCTTTTTTCCAATCGACTTTTTTACCATTCGGCCTTTCTATTCCCTCTTTGGCGTTTTGTAATATTTGACAATTCGTCCTTTGTAAGGTTAAAGACATCTATATGTAAAAAGTAGCCTGTGATTCACTCCAATATCTTTTACTCAGTTAGCAAAAACGGTCGCCACTACAACACAGGGATACATGACAAAAAACGACTGACGATCATTCATGCAAAACGATTTAAAGCTCAAGCTAAAGTCAAATGGAATAACATGCTGGTAGTAATGAACCATGTTGCTATCGCGTATTTGGCATAGGTCATGTTTTTTAAGAAACATCACTTTGTTTTTTTTTTTACTCCATTCCATCCAAGATCTCACACGTACAATAGCAAATATGAACGTTAAACAGTACAATAAGACATCTCAAAGAAGCATCATCCTGAACCTAAATACACTTATATCATAGCACAGTGTAGCATATGCGGCTGTGATATCGTGTGATGGTCAACCATCATATTTAGCAGATGCCAGGAAAATAATCAGTCAACATTTCAAAACACAACTGAACTCAATTAGTTAAGTGCCAAATAGACTCTGTTTTCAATATTGGCCTCATAGAGCCCGGCTGGTGGTGAAAAATATCGAAGTCACCGATTCCGACTGTTGTCGATTCGAAGTTAGTTTTAGCATGACTATGATACATTGTGCCAATTGTTAATTTTTTAAGTTGAGGTTTTTGGATCACTGGGTTGATTTTCTGGGACTTCTACCACCCCATCCGGAACAATGAGATAACAAAAAATGTGCATACCCCTGTCGAATGATGCAACATGGTGGCTGCCATCCAGAGAACCGAAACTTTTCACTCCATCCAATAAGAACTGCAAAATCTTTGCATTTTGTTGAAACGTGGATGATAAACAATTTTAAAACGATTGTGACTTTATTAAGCTTAGTCTGGTTTTCTTGTTATTTTAAAAAGTGTTAAATGCTAGTAATAACCTATTGTACAAATATTAAATAGTTCAAATATCCAGTTTCTGGAAGAACTATGACCCGTGGAAATTGAAAGACCCATCTAGAGGACGCCAGAAGGACTTTTGAGGAAGTAGGAAGATACTTTTAATAGAAGCCGGAAGAGTCTTCTGATGAAACATCTGAGTAAAATTGGAAAACAAATTGGGGAAGTTGGAAGACGCATTCAGAGGGAGAAGCAAAACGAAACTTCTGGGGAAAGATAGAAGACATTTCCGAAGAAAGTTAGAAGGAAATTTCATTGAAAGTCAAATATGCTTCCAGATGAAATCGGAAGAAACTTCCAAGGCAAAGTGACAGACATGGTCGGAGCAAGTTGGAAGATAACGGGTGTTCAATAAAAAAAAGAGATTTTTTTCAGTCATATAGCTAGCAAAAAAAAATTTCAACTAATTCAGTATTTTTTATTAAAAACATAATGTTTATTATTTTGCTAACCTTAGATTATAAGTTTGATTAACCTTGTGTTTAGTTTGTGTATTGTGCGTGTAGTTTTTTTTTAATGTCTGTTTTCAAGATGAATAGAAATAAGTTCATGTTTTAGGATTAATTAAATATTTGTATAATAAATTATATTTCAAACCTCCTTCTCCCTTTCCCCATCCAAAAAATTGTTAATCTCCACTAACCTCGAGACGACCGCGAGTAATCGGTTCAATTCCTTAAATGATAACTCGGCTCTGTAAAGTTTATTCGATTGAGCCTGTACAAATAAATTAATATAAAAAAAAATAATGTTTGTTCTTCAAAAAACGTCAATGAATATTGGAGAAGGGGCCCTGGTCAGCCGTACGACGCAACTTAGTCGCGATGCTCTCACAAGAGCCTGACGGCACTGAAATCATTCTCATTTTTTATTGAACACCCGTTACATCCAGGAATTTTCGGGAGAAATTTCCGATGTAAGTCTGAAACAACTTTCCGTGGAAGTCAGAATACACCTCCAAAGGAAATCATAACGACTTCTGTGGAAGTCGAAAGAGTAAGTTAGACGAGTCATCCGGGAAATATTTGCCGATTCTAGGGACCTCCCGGGAAGATCCATCAGGTGTTTCCCGATTCACGGGTAACCGAAAGTGGTAGGGAAATTGAAACACTACTCAGAATACCAAAATAATAATGCTAGCAAAGTCCACAACCGTCAAAAATTGTGTATACACTTGAGCTGCAATATCTCATCAACATCATTTATTTCCAGTTCAACGGTATTTCGCCAAACGACCTAAAATCGTCTACAGCATATGAAAATATTCGGTTACAATATTGCTACATCCTCATGAAAGGGAATAAATGAATGGATGAAAACTAAAACAACCTTAACTGTCAATTTGTACATTCATCACTCCCAATTCTATCCACCCCAAAACTTCTGATACCCCCTCGTTCATCCCTCTCATCCACCAACTAACCCACTTCTCACGATCTACTTCCACTTCCAGATCACCTTTGATACCCAAATCCGTGCCTCACCACGGCAGGATCCTAACCAACGTAATCCCTTTCTCGAGTGGCTTACCAGCTGGATTGGCACCACTACGACAACCCCAGCCCCACCACTAACTCCACCTACCGACTGTAGCGAATGCAGTAAGTATGCCCCTTTCGCTCTTGCCGCCAAGTAAACTCGATACTAACCGTCAATTTCCGTAGAATGCGGTCGAACGAACCTAGCAACCCGAATCGTCGGTGGAACGGAAACTCGCGTTAACCAATACCCGTGGATGGCTATGCTCCAGTACGGAGGAACCTTCTACTGTGGAGGGTCCCTGATCTCTGATCAGCATGTCCTAACCGCGGCACATTGCGTGCATGGCTTCAATCCGGCCAAGATCACCGTTGTCCTGTTGGATCATGATCGATCGAGTACGACCGAAGCGGAAACCATCACCAGCAAAGTAGAACGAGTGATCAAGCACAATGGGTACAATTCCAACAACTACAATAGTGACATAGCGGTGCTGAAACTGGAAAATAAGATCATGTTTAGCGATAAGATTCGACCGGTTTGCCTACCGTCGGCGAAGAAGTCCTTTACAGGCCAAGAAGTAGGCAAAATGTGTAGCTTTATCCATCGTGGGAGGTTTTTTAACAAGTGCTTTTATTACAGGGAATCGTAACCGGTTGGGGTGCCACATCGGAAAACGGACAGATTTCGGTGAACCTGCAAGAAGTAACTGTACCGATCATGTCCAATGCGGATTGCAAGAAAACTGGCTACGGGCAGAGTCGCATTACCGATAACATGATGTGCGCTGGATTTCCGGAAGGAAAGAAGGACTCTTGTCAGGGTGACAGTGGTGGTCCACTGCACGTTATCGATTCCGAGATGAAATCGGAAAGCGTTCATCAAATTGCGGGAATAGTATCCTGGGGCGAAGGGTGTGCTAAGCCTAACTACCCGGGAGTATACACCAGGGTGAACCGATTCCGGACGTGGCTTATGACTAACACGGCTGATGCTTGCTACTGTTCGGAATGACTGGAGGAATTGGAATAAATGAGGAACTAAAACTTCTGTAATTTTTACTGAATTATCCGAAATCGTAATAACGCACTGCAAATCATTATTCATGTTGCTTCATGGTAGATACCACTAGGCATCATTAACTCATTGCATCGCTTTCGCCACCTGCTTGCTATTTACTTTCAGGTTATTCAAGATCCAGTTCATGAGATCCCGGAGGAAGAGGATGATAGCGTCCTTGTCTCAGCTGGGGACAGTCCGGATCGAAAGGACAATGCCTTCCTGGAGTGGTTGGAATTGCTGACAGGGGTTCAACGACCTTCACCCCCACTGAAACCTGCTGAAAACTGCACCGAGTGTCGTAAGTATCTCGGCTATGGGTTCAAATTCCTGATGATAAACTATCTTCATACCCAACGCAGAATGTGGTAGAACCAACACGGTGAAGCGAATCGTCGGTGGTATGGAAACTCGCGTCAATCAGTATCCTTGGATGACGATTCTCAAGTACAACAATCAGTTCTACTGTGGTGGGACGCTCATTACGGATCGACACGTTATGACGGCCGCTCACTGCGTCCACGGTTTCAGTCGGGCACGGATGAGCGTTACCCTCCTAGACCACGATCAGTCCATGATGAATGAGACGGAAACCATCACGGCGAAAGTGGAACGCATCTTCAAACACCCTGGATACAGTTCTCTGAACTACGACAACGATATTGCCGTACTACGGTTGGATACGGTACTGCAGATGAACGATAAACTTCGGCCGGTTTGTCAACCGAGCTCGGGCGAATCGTTCACTGGATATGATGTAAGATTAAAACGCTTTCAATGAACATAAAGAAAAATTCAATGCTAAATTATTTTCCAGGGTATTGTTACCGGTTGGGGTACTACTTCGTCCGGAGGAAACGTTTCACCTACCCTTCAGGAGGTCACCGTGCCGATAATGTCCAATGAAGATTGCAAAAAGACGGCATACGGTGAGAATCGCATCAGTGACAACATGCTGTGCGCTGGATATCCCGAAGGAATGAAGGACTCCTGCCAGGGTGACAGCGGGGGTCCGTTGCATGTGATGGACAAGGAAATGGAATCGGAAAACATTCATCAAATCGCTGGGGTTGTGTCCTGGGGCGAGGGTTGTGCCAGACCGAACTATCCGGGTGTTTACACCCGGGTCAATCGCTATGAGGAGTGGATCCGAAACAATACAATCGATGGGTGCTACTGTAAGCAAGACAAGACGTCTTCTGTTTCAGTTGAAAACTGAATCATATTTATTATCCTAGGCAAATATTATAACAACGTGCAATGCGATATTTAATATCAATATTTATGTACTCAATAAAACATGGCGAAAAAGTAATAATGTAATCCACAAATCAAATATCAAAAACCACTATTCAGAGTCGTCCTCAAGTCATATTCAGATTAGTTCCATTGTGACTATAACGAACCACGGTATCAATAAAAGACGGTGGTTGGTGGTTCCAAATTTGTAACGTCGTATTGGAGGGCTGGTGGGTTTTCCAAATCTTTAAACCTAGTTATCTCTGAAAAAAAAAACCCATATTGACGCACCGAGCAGGTGTATAGAACCATTTGTTACTCAGGACAATACCGTTTTTGATATTATCTAGAAAAAAAAATTGGTCCATATTTTTTTGTCTCACAGGAAATCTCGTTTCTAATATTACCTTTCAGGTGATGATGTACTTGCTTTACCAGTCGAGAAGGTGCCGTGGAGACGAATGGAGCGGTGTCCTGAACGCTCACAAAACAGAGATCCATGCTACGGTTGTTCTCGTTGACTACGTGGTTTATTTGAGATAGCGTTGCTGTACTATAGCAGGCGAGAAGGGTCTGGGTAGAGAAATCCGCTGTGAGATGGTATCAAACGCCAGCAAGATTGAAGTCACCCAGAACGATTATCTCATCAATAGGTGTCGCATTCTCCTTGATGAAAACGGACTGGCCATGGTTATCGATAAGTTCGGTGTCACGAACCCGGTCAGGTATTATGTACACCGTACATAGGTACAGTGTGCGATCGCTTAGTTCTACGGCCACCCAAACTTGTTCCACACAGTTCCACAAGACGTTTACAATAGCTCTCACTTTTAACCCGAAACGAATTGCCACGAGAACACCACCTCCAGTAGATTTTTTTTTATGTTTACCACGGTTGATGGTCGCACGAGGTAAGGCGTTTTCCCTGGAAGTCATGGAAACATCAGGCGGCGAATGGACATTAACAATCTCAAGCGGTTGGAAGACCCCCTCTCCACATCCAACCACAGACCCGGAACGACTATGAAGATCGGACGCGGCAGATAGCAGTACTGGGTGAGGGATTGGGGGCTTCCGAAAAGTTTTCTACAGCGCGTCCCGGGGGCACTTCCTCGATTGAATTGGAGCTCCTTTGCCAAAGCGATGCCCCCTGGATAATCGCTCTACAAGAGGTCTATAAAGTTACAACCGACCAACTCAATCGTTCGCTGGGAGGGAGATACGATTAGAGCTACAAGCGCTGCGGGAACTTCAGGCACTCCGTAGCCATTGGGGTGCTTAGGAGCATTTCACACCAAGTTCTTGACCTCCAAACCGACCTACCAATCGTTGGCGTCACCTCAAGAATGCTGCTTACTTAGCTATCGGTTGTGGGTACCTGCCCTGTGAACGGATAGCTTACTTAGATGGAGACTTGCAGCTATTTCCAAGCTTCCAGAACCGCGGCTCATCGTCGGTGACTTCCATGGGCACCATCCGGACTGGGGCAGCCCTCGCCCAGACTCCAGAGGTTCTACCCTGGCGAACATCTTCGAGAGTGAGGACCTGGTGGTGCTGAACGACGGCGCTCCCACCTTTTTTAATGGACGGCACACCACCACTATCGACATTGCCACTGCCAGTCAATCTATCGCGAACAGGACGCAGTGGAATATCAATAACGACCTGCATCGTAGTTACCATTACCCGATCCGCATACAGCTTTCCGTAGGCGCGGCCTCTCCAACGACTCGGAGACCCAGATGGCGCTACGAGGAAGCCAACTGGGACGCCTTCAGGGAGAAATCCAACACTCTCCTTCAGCAACGCAATTCGATCAACTTCTCGAGCTTCACGGAAGTACTCTACGAAGCTGCAAAATATTTTGCCGGCCTGTCTGCTGTCAGTGGCTAAAATTTCGTCCAGCGCGTCAAACTTTCCATTCGCGAATCGCAAATTCCACCCGATGTTCCTGCTCTCCAGATCAACGAAGCTCTTACCTCCCGGGAGGTTCAATTTGCCCTCAACAGCAGTAGTGGTCAATCTGTCGGGCCGGACGAGATTGGATACCCGGTGTTAAAATACCTCTCCCTCGACGGAAAAACGAGGCTACTCGCCCTCTTCAACGATCTATGGCTCACTGACTCGTATCCGGACCTCTGGAAACAAAGCTTGGTTGTGTCCATTCCGAAGAACAACACGGCGAGTGAAGAAGCCTCCTCCTTTAGGCCGATTGCGCTCACTTGCTGCGCGGCAAAATCGTCGTCTTAGGTCGTCGAAGACCACCGATCACCATCCAAGATCATCGGATTCCTCTCAAGAAAACAGTGCGTGTTCTGGGGGTAGTACCAACAATCAATACGAAACTAACGATTTTAAATTGGCTCACTACATGACTAGCCTATTGGTCCCAAGCAAATTGATTAACGTACCCCATTCTAGTCGAAATTCTAGTACTACACAATGTTTGTTTTGATTCGCTATGAAATTTTGGCAGATAAAATGAGGGGTTATTGGATATTCCTATGTTTCGAGGGGTGAATCGATTAGCTTAGGACCGAAGATAGTACCAGAGCTGAGCCAAAAAGTTGAGCACGTTTCTTCGGGACCTACTAGTCTTAGAGTTACCTCTATGGTAGTACTGGGTAGCACCCGACCAGCACTTCAGGATGGCGAAAGAAAACTGTTGTAGCCGCATCAACATAGTCAGGACAAACTCCCGCCCCCATCGCTCCAGCAACCGTGAGATCCGCCTTCGTGTCGCTCGGGCTGTTATCGACAGTCGACTTTTCTACGGCCTCGAAATAACCTGCTTAGCCACGGAGAAGCTCAACCACATCCTCGCTCCGGTATGCAATACCTACGTACGCATCGTATCCGGCCTTCTCCCTTCCGCTATCGATCTGCTGCAGTCATTGCTACGACAGCCACTGCCTTCGCTGCTAAGACATCCGGATCGAAAGGGTCTTTCTCCTCAACGAGGGGAACAGAGCCCTCTGCACTGCAGCCAACCGTGACCTCCTCCCGGTGGCCAGGGTCCACTGGCATGGAGAGAGGAGTTGGCGATGAAACGTCGTCAAAATAGATAAGCGGATTAAGAGTGGACTCCAAACCGGAGATAACTCTGTTGCTTTGAGATGTTCTGTTGCAGAGCTTCTCGGGTCGGTTTATTCGGGGCACGTTCATCGCTTTACAGACGGATCGCGGTCACGGACTGAAGTTGGACTCGGAGTGGCAGTACCTAACACTGCAACGAGTCAAAGTCTACCGGAGGAGTGTTCCGTCTTTTCCGCTGAAGCTATTCTAGACGGCAGATCAACCGATCCTCGTGTTAACTGACTCACACAGTGTCATCCAAGCGCTGGAAGCCAAGTCCCGAGCCACACCTTTTTTTTTATGCAGGAGGTTATCTGCTCCCAGACTCCTGAGAAGATAACTCAGGGTGTGGGGATGGGAGAAATAGCTCTCCCGACCCTCTAAACCTTACCCTGTGCTCTAGGCCCTTGCCCTCCCCGGAACCGCCCGAAAGCATTACGTCATGGGAGGAGGCCGGTTGCGCTATGGCGCATCACTAGGTGTTGTGTCCGACGTGACACTCGCTACTGCACAGTGAGCAGCTGTGCAGGGCCTTCCTCTTGTTGTTCGCTGTTCGTTGTTCGCCTGGGTTCTAGAGCAGACGTGATAGCCAGCCAACTGTCCAACAGGGCAGCTTAGGACAGATGTGACCTCTTACCAGCTGCATGTGCTAAGCACTCTAAGAACCCGGCGTCACTCCTGCCTTTGCACAACGAGGGTTTGTGCAGGGCTTCTCCACCTCCTGGGACGAGCTAGATGGGGTTCCAGCGTCCCTACTCTGCGGTAGTTCGTTTCGCCGCAATATCTCTCCCTTGGGTTCGATAATTAGCGTTTCCAGGGCACACCACGAGGAGGCGAACTACTTCATGCCCCCCGAGCCACCCCTTGATACAAGCCATTACACGGTACGCCCCACCTTCAACCGTCTTTACGTGGATCTCTGGACACTGCGGTGTTCCCGGAAACGAGGATGCGTACAGACTGGCGGGATCTGGTGCGTCCCGTCCCCGCTACACCAAGAACGTACCCCTCCTAGACGTCAATACTACAAGTGAATACTATTATGGCAGCCTGGAAGCAGGAATGGTTCCAGTCACGGATCACTTTCCTGAGAAAGATCAAGGAAACCGTACGCTCCTGGCTGGACAGCCAAAAGTATAAGGGTCAGCGGGTCATCTCAAGACTCCGGACCGGCCATGCGAGGATTTCCGGTAATTTTGGTGGGACCCCTATCTGCAAGGTTTGTTCAATTTGCAGCATTCCCGTCTCGGTGGAACACGTGCTGTGTATCTGCACGGAGTTCCAGAAGCTATGGGAACAACATGGACTCCCGGAGAACGTCAGTAATCTGCTTGGTTACGACCCCTCGACGTTGGCTGCGCTGATCGCCTTTCTGAAGGACGCCCACTTGTATGGTCAAATCTAGCCTCCCGTCGGTGGCTGCACTGATCGTATTTTCCTCACCTTTTTATTTTTTCTGCCGCCGGGGTTATCTCCGCCGGACCGGGCACTGTTTCCTACGGTGGAGCTCTACCTTGTTCGCACAACTCCGATGTAATCCTCACTTTACATTAAGTTTTTAAAATGTTGTCTGTCTCATTCGTTGGGTAATCAGAGCCAGTTATACGTCACGTTCATGTCAAATGGAAACCTTTTTTTTTTTTTGAAGCAGGATCTAGCCTGACCATCTGCTGTATAACGTGATGAACTAGCGTACGGCTAAAAATCACGGTAATAAAGAGAAAAAAGAATTATAAATACTTCCTCGCTCGGTGATATTCTGGGAATGTCTATACATGGCCGTGGGGAAAACTCATGATTAATCACTTTGATAGAGCCTGGAGGAGCCAGTCGGATGAGGTTATGATTGATATAGAGCTTCTGCAGCGGGACTTAAGCTACATGTATATATCTCGCTCTCTTATT